TTATGTAATATATAATATATGATAGTATATGTTGTACACTATGTGTGGCATATATTATGTAATATATAATACTCGTGCTGTTGCTCTATGAATGCTGTTTGAGTAAATACATGTCATGAAAAGAAACACGGGAGTAACAAATATATTCAGAACAAATGATTACCTTATGGTCAAGCCCTAAACTGTCAAACACGAATACAAGAGACTAAAGAGATGAAGCAGTGCTTAAGAGCTGTTCTTGTAGAGAACTGGAGGTTGGTTCCCAGAATTTACATGGTAGCTAATGAATGCCTTTAACTCCAGCTTCAGGGACTCTTGACACTGTCTTCTGTACTTAGGCACCCACATGCACATTAAAATACTGACATGCACACACAAATAATTTTTTTTACAAAACAAATACTAGCCGGATGTGGTATCAAATGACCTTAATCTCAACCTTTTTGACACAGGGGGAAGAACAAGAGGCAATGGGCAAGAGGCAGGAGGCAGGCTTTGCCCCCGTTTCTCTTGCTAGAGAGCTTGGCCTCTTGATCACCACAACAAAAATTGGCTTTTTCCTAAACCAAGGCCGCCCTTGATATGGCCGCTAACATTGGGGAGCCTTCCTTTATGACAATATTACACCCCAAACTGACAAATGGTTGGTAAATTGAACATTTACAAGGGACTAGGATGGCTGTGAGTTAGCCCAAGGACGGGATTATTGTAGGTCCACTTCCCAGGGGCCCACCCAATGCAGCCGAAAAGGAGTGCGTGGTGCTGGGAGTGGGTGCAGCCTACATGGCCTAAGACAGGGCTCTCACCCTCCTTTCACCCACATCGGAGTCCCTTGACGATGCCCATCGTCGAAAGCCTAAAGCCTTCGACCATCGATGTGACTCGTCTCACATCAGTGTTTTGGGGTTGTGAACTTGTCTAAGACCTCCCATAATTAGACATCCAAATTCAAAATTCACATAGTTGGGATTGATCATAAGATGCCTTCTCTAACTAAACAGAGAAGGGGGAGATGCCAGAAGCCAGGACCCTCGCCCTTACCCTCACCCCCTACCTTTCCCCACCTGCACAATGTCCTCTGAAGCTTGGCAACTGCAAGATCCTGCTTGGCAACTGCAGATAGACTCAAAGCAGTGTACCATATCATCGTAAGAATAGCAGGGAGACCATAACTCAAGCAGTGTACCATATCTTCTGAAGAACAGCAGGTAGATCATAATTCAAGGCAGTGTACCGTATAGACCATGACATGTTTCAAGGCACAGGCCAAGAAGATTTTGTACTTTTCCACCACCTGGCCCCTCTTACCCCCTCCCCTTGTAAAACATGCTATAAAAAAGCATTTCATGTTCAATAAATAAATAAATAAATAAATAAATAAATAGAGGCAGGAGGCAGGAGACAAGAGGCAAGAGGCAAGAGGCAACAGGAAGAAGCAAGGGGCAGGGGGCAGGAG